ATTAAGAGAATTTGCAGAACTACTAGAACTTGCTAGAACTAATAGACCGATTTTAATGAAATTTAATGTGTACATACATGGATACAATACAAAACAAATAACCATTCAACAATTGTAATACACACGCATGATCGTGCGTAACATTCGTTGGAGTCAGAAGGTAGGAAATTGCCGCAGGACAATTCAGGACAATTGCCACAGGAAATGATAAACTGCCTTATTTCAAGTATGAAATCACGCCGTAAATATCTGTAAGAGGGGACCTTACACCCTATTAGTCCATTTATTTTTTGTTTATTCTGCAACCGCTGTTTCATACCTTCCGACTCCATCGAATGTTACGCACGATAATGTGTATGTATTACAATTGTTGAATAATTATTTGTCTTGTATTGTATCACTGTATGTACACATCAAATTTCATTAAAATTGGTCTAATAGTTCTGGAGATAATCGACCAAGTCTGCAAAGTCCCTTGATTTTTTTACACCAGTGTATATATATGTATGAAGTTACTCAAAAGCAAATGCGATCTTTTGTTATTACATGTATAGCATAAAGTCTGTCTTGAAAAGTTAAGCACTCGTCGAAATTCGCTGGTATTACAACACCTGAAAAATATTTGACGTAATAACGGGAAAATTCTTAAATTATAACAGAAATGAAATGCTATCAATAAATTTCTTTAATTAAAATTGATATTGTGTTGATTATTGATAAATATTTAATATTGTGACTTTCAAGATTTTAGTTTGAAAGGACTGATTTAAAAGTTTAAGAAACTTATGAATTTCTTAGTAATTTGGTTGGATGAAGTTACGTATTTCCTACAAAGGATTAAAACAGGTCTATTATTTCTAATCAAAAGCTCCAACGCTCACAATCCCATAAGCTGCAAAATTAACAAAAGCGAAGTTTTGAAAATTTATAAGTTAAAATCCGAAAAAAAAGAGTTTTTCTAAAATTTTTAGCGCTTTAAATAGATTAAAGTGGGGTGTTTTATATTTTCTTTTATAATCGTCGTTGAACAGTCGACCCAATTTTTTAGGCGTACGACTACTAATGTTCAACGCCATAGCCTTGTCATTTTGAACCCAATCCAGAATACAACGGAATTCCTGGATCAAGTATTGGGAGAAATTTGCTTTCGCGGTGGACTTTTTGAGGAAACTTACCCGCATTTGCATTACATGGAGACTAAGACCACGAGAATCTTTCAGGGTGAGCGTGAGCCTGACGGCAAGAGGACTCTAACCCATGATCCGTCTACCACTGAGGATATTTTATGTCAGCATTGCGGTCGGTGCAAGCCGGATGCGGAATTCGTATCGACCAGCCATCAGTGGGATTCGAACCCGGTTCACCTCATTGGAAGGCAATCACTCTATCCCGTGGGCCATCACGGCTCGAGTTTTTCAAATGTTGAAGAAAAGAGACGATTTCGCCCAAATACCGAGATGTGGACTACTGATAGGCAAATTCGGAGATAATTATTAAGGCAGCATGTGTCATTTCACAAAAAGAAAAAAAAAGACACTATTGGTGTAGCAGTGTCTAAGGGCGCTGTAAGGTTTTCCTGAGACGTATGGCCTAGACTCATTCGAGAATGTAAATTTTATAATTTTGAAGAAAATTAGTCACAAGCCATGTCCTAAATCCCTCCCATCATAAACCGACAAGAATGAACTCGGCGAAAAATCAGAAGTCGTATGGCAATAAATGGTTATCTGTACTATTATTCAGCGATGAGAAAAAAATGAAATTTAAATGGTCCTAACGTCTGGAATATTGGCATGATCTTCGAAAAAAAACCAAGGAATTTATTCAGCAGGCAGCAAGGTGGCGAGTCTCTAATGGTTTTGGAGAGCGTTTGGATTTAATAGGCAGACATCCCTCCATTCCCTTAAGGCAGTGTTTCCCAAACTTATGACTTTTGTGTACCCCTTATAAATTTTTTGTAGCACAGTGCACCATTAATAAGAAAAATGAACGCATTTTTTACTACAAAAAATATGCACAAAAATTAAAAATCGCAACTGACTGTTGGCACCACTAATTATGAACTGTTAACTCTGCAAAAAAAAAAAAAAAAAAAAAAATAGCCAATAGAAAAATACCTCATAGTAAATTTTCATGGCTAACTTTTTTTAAATAAAATTTTTTTGATAATTTCGTTTGTTACAAGATATTTCGCATAAGAACACGTACCCCCTCTTAAATGTTTCCGTACCCCTGGGGGTACGTGTACCACACTTTGGGAAACACTGTCTTAAGGGAAGACAAGCATCTGAACACATATCAAGAAACACGGAGGCAACATATGATTCCTTTTCAAGACCTCTCGGAAAGAACTAATTGTAACTTTCAACACGACCAGGCCTCGATACGTACTTCATTGCTGCAGTGTTAGAACGGCCGTTGAATTTAACCATGAATTTATCAATGCCGTAAAAGGGACTATCTTCTCGAATTTGCATAAATGTATTTTTTTAAACATGCCACTATCTGATCTATGAAGCCGCGATGGCTCAGGGGATAGAGGTTCGCTTTCCTATGTGGTGAATCGGGTTCGAATCTCAACGATGGATGGTAGATACGAAATCCGCATCCGCATTGCACCGACCACAGTGCTGACGTGAAATATCCTCAGTGGTAGACGGATCATGGGTTAGAGTCCCCTTGACGTCAGGCTAACCGTGGGAGGTTCTCGTGGTCTTCCTCTCCCTGTACAGAAAATGCGCTTTAGTTCCATCAAAAATCCCCCACGAAGGCAAATTTCTCCCAATACTTGATCCAGGTTTTCCCTTGTCTTCTGGATTGGGCTCAAAATGAAAAGGTTACGGAGTTGAACATTAGTAGTCGTAAACACAAAAAATTGGGTCGGCTGTTCAACGACGGTTATGATATAATATACCTGATATGTTTTTCGCGCATTCGCTTCTTTTTCGGGTTTATTGAAGTACATTTTGTAGGAGTGAAAGGTATCTGTTACAAGAAATTGCATTTCTGATGGCTGCATTTTTAAATAAAGAATTACTAAAACCAATAATCTGAAAATTTTGGTTACGACACATCAAGCATATCTCACAAAACCAGTATAATTTCTGCGGAGTTGGTACCAGGAAAAACTACTTTTTTTCACGTCTCATTATTTAAAGACTCTCGTTTGTACATTGAGAAATCAGATCAATAAGACTATGTGTAAAAATACAAAAATAAAACACTCGATTTCATTAGAGGATATCTTAATTTGAGCTAGTAGAGCTAGCATTGCAGTTGGTCGATTTTCGGACACATGGAATCGTGGCTCAAAATAAAGAACATTTGACCAAATGACATGATCCAGTAGATTTCAAAGAAATTTTTGGACGTTTATTTGGTGGCCGGATGCTTCATCGGGTGAGAAATCATCAGAATCTGAGACAACGGATGTTTCCGAGGAATGTTAAAGACGTTGAAGCTTTGCTTAGGTTGGTTCCTTGGGGTATTCATCCACTTTTCCTTCGAGGTTAATATCTTCCTTACCAGTACTATGCATGGTTCTTTATCGCCTAACGAGATCATCGCCAACAAAACCAATTATTTTTATTCTTTGAAATGCTGGATGCTACTTAGGCAAAGTATGAAGTAATCGTCCTGATGAGGTTATTATATAAATGATCTGCATGTTACTGTGAATGACCGAAATCGGTGGTTGTTGACTTTCACCGGTGAATGTTGACAATCAAATTNGTTCCCATGAATTTATTATATTTTGTCCCAAATTTTAACTGTCACCGTAGGCACATATTTCTTGTCTACATCCGAATCGACGAATTCATCTCTTGAATCCGGTTCATTCATCACTTCAATGATTTGTACATTTGGGCTATACCTGCAGCGTTTCATGATAATTTGACGCATAATAAGTGCAATGGAAATAAGTGCAATTAAATAGGAATTAAAGAAAATATTTACCTTTTTTTTCACCACAATATTCTTTCTTACCGTTTGGTGTCCCTCTACCCCGGAGGCCCTCTGCAATCGCCGACCTGGCCATTCTGAGCATATTCGTACATATGTTACTGTGATAGATATGTAGGTACTTTATTTACGCCGCTCTAGAGCTGCGCAATGGGCTATTGGCGACGGTGTGCGAAACATCATCCGAGGGATGCCATCGCAATTTTGATCCTCTGTAGAGGTTGTGGCTTTCCTGTTTTGTAAACCCGACGACCTGCGCGCGAAGTCGAGCAGTTTACGTTAGAACGAACGCGGTATATGTTATAGAAGACATATACCGCGCTTATTAGGTCCCTACGCTGGCTGATCAAAGCCGTCACCACCCTCTTACTGACAGCAGCCAGTGATGCTTGACTTCGGTGTTCTACTGGGAACCGTGTTTTTACGATCAGTATGTAACTGTGATCAGGTTACTGTGAATGACCGAAATTGATGGTTGTTGACTTCCACCGGTTCAATCACATAGTCACTTCCCGGTATACATTTGCCCGGTATGCCCTACATCAGTGTTGCTTTTAAGGTTAAGTACCCCAGCCCAGCATGCATTTAACTAGTACTCCGAACACGGATGTTTCTCCCAAATCTTCATCAAATATTAGAATATCGAATAAATATAATAATATCAACGAATAAATTAATATCAAATCGGATATAACAAATATTTCGGACATTCACTAAAGCGAATATGTAATTGTTGACATTCACCGGTAAAAGTCGACATTCTCTAGATTTCGGCCATTCACGGTAATGCGAGAATATTTTTAAGAAAAATTATAACAATCTATCTCTTTTTCTCTCTCCAATTCTAATATTCAAAAAATATTGCTTCCAATAATATATAATTGATAACTGCAAAGTAGGTAATCGTCTCATTGTTGCCACTGAAACACAATGCCCTTCATATTGCGCAATCGCCAGTGTTTTTGTCCTGCTCAATAAATAAAAAATAAACGTTAAATGCAAGGAAACAATTGAATTCGAAACTACTTGGGAAGTCAACCTATTCACTTTTTCGATTCAATAAAACCGTTGCGGCAAATTTTTAAACCTTGAACCTCTACATTCTTATTCGCCGGTAACGGTGCACGACGATTTCTTGCATGAAAAGAATAGATCAATTGGGAAAACCCCTTTAAAAATCCTCAGTTTACGAATTGCATAGCAAGACAGCGTTTCTGACCAAACATAAAGGGCTGATTATTCGCAGCTGCAACACGATCCTTTCCAGAAGATTAGAAACAGAAGGGAAGAAAGAAAAAAAAGTTTGGTGAATCTCAAACATTCCTCGGATTATTGACAGTTCGTGAAAAAAACAAGCAAACAATCAGGACGGAAATATATCACTCAATTTAGGTATTCATATTAGATAACCCCGTTATCTTAGGGAGAAAAAAAAAAAGAAGAGATAAAATTGGACATAAACTTCTCGTGTTCTCTCTGTGACGTTGGAAGATTTAAAAGCAGTTAATTCTCTTTTTATCATCCCTTTCACAATTTGTTGAGAGGCATTTTGTTGTCGTATTTCATGAGAGAAAGCTAAAACTTCTGACCATTCGTCGCCAAAGGAAGAGAAGAAAGAAAAACGGATGTCATTTTGGCTTATTTCCTCCATATTTCCGGACTATTTATTTTGAATTTATATGTGGATTACTTGTTGACCGGGGCTGTTACACTGAGTCATCAAAAAATTGGGTGAGTCGCTCTCTTTTTCTATCTTCGTGAAATTATTTAATTTATTTTACTAAGTACTTCGAAATTGTTTTTTTTTTAAAAAAGGAACCTTTGAGTTATTTAATTAGATAAAAAAAAAGCTATGATCTCATAATGTGACTCTTGCATCACAGACCAAATCAACCAGAATAATTCTAACCTTTTTAATTAATGTACTCCGAGCTTAGAAAACTTAGAAATGTGCGATATTGAACATTTCATCTTTAACTCGGTATTCTGAACACTTCAATACCTAGGACTTTAAATTTCGAACAATGTATTTCCACAACTCAGTAAAAATATTTAAAATAAATTAATCATAGCTTTTATTGTAGATTTTTAAATATCCTATTAATAGTTAATTTGCATGCTTGTGAAATTATTATAATTTAACTATTTTGTTTAAAACAGTGTATACTATAACTATACTTTCGTAAAAAAAGTCACTCTCTTTTCTATCTTTGAAAAGTTATTTAATTAATTTTATTAAGTACTGCGAAATTGTTTCCAAGAAAAGGAACCTTTGAGTTATTTAATCAAATAAAAAAGAAAATTATGATTTCACAATGTGACTTTGACATAACAGACAAAATCAACCAGAATCCATTGTAATTCTATACTTTTTAATTAATGTTACTCCGAACTTAGAAAACTTGTTAGAAGCGTACGATTTTGAACATTTCATCTTTATAACTCTGTATTCTGAACACTTCAATAATTAGGACTTAAGATTTCGAACAATTTATTTTCAGAATTCAGTAAAAGCATTAAAAATATTTCAAATAAATAAATTACAACTTTTAAAATTGTAGATTTTTAATTTTTATTTGTTCGCATTTTTGTGAAATTATAATTTAGCTATTTTGTTTAAAACTGTGTATACTATTAACTATACTTTCGTAAAAAAAGAATTAGCAAGCAAAAACCTTTTTGAGTTTTATAGTCTGACAAACTTTCACAATTAAATAAATACAAAATATGCTGAATTACCCAGAATCCAGAGTAAATATTTCTTAATTTCAATTCTTTTGTATTTTTAGTTCATCTTTAAAAAGCGAAGTATTTTTAACATTTCATCATTAATGACTTCAAATTTTAAACATTTCTTTATCACTGTTGAAACGTAAAAGTATTGAAAGTATTAAGATAAATTTACAGCCGTATTTAGAATTAGAAGATTTAAAAAAAAAAAAAAAATTATAGCAAATTTGAAACGTTTCCTGAACATATGACTGTTTTTTTAATTAAGATCGTACGAAAACGAAAAATAACTCGTTGCGACCTACTGTAAAAGAAAAGAAAGTTTTTTATAAAAATCTTAATATCTCTATAAATACGAAATTTTATGCAGTTATTGCAAATAACAACCTAAGTAAATGATACAAGTTGCAAGCTTATTGCTTGATTTTTTTCACATAGGGCAGTGTTTCCCAAACTTAACCCTTTCTAAATTTTTATAACACTGTGTACCACTAATAAAAAAATGAATGTATTTTTTACTAAAAAAATTTCATAAAAGTTAAAAATCACAACTGGCTGTTGACACCACTAATTATTAACTGTTAACTCTGCCAAAAATAGCCAACAGAAAAATACGTAATCGTAAATTTTCATGCCTAGCTCTGTTTTCAAATAAAAACTGAAATTTTCTTTTGTTGCAAGATATTTTGCACAAAAGAACCCCTGGGGGTACCACACTTTGAGAAACGCTGACATAGGGTGACGAGAAATACTTGTTTCCTTTCGTAATTAATTGTCGGTCTCTCAAATCTCTGAAAGCTTTAAACTTTATTGCTAACTACAAAAAAATTGCAAGAACTAATACTTCTAAATTTACAAAAAAGACCTCTAAGCATTTCTTGAGAAATTCAAAAAAATATACATCAAAAAACTGAGTGTCTCTTCTATCATAAGTTAGGGTGTTTCAAAAAACTATTCCAAGTGATGAGAACGAAAATTTGAAATGAAATGAATCGGTCAAATAGTTCTTGAAAAAATATGACTTATTTTGAAATTTGCCCTCTTAATGTTCATTATGGTTAATGCATAAACCACGATCCCAGAAAAGTCATTGTGAACTTTCTTTTACTGTTCTTCTCGTCCTCGAGTCCAGCATCACTGGCGGCGGTCAGTAAGCGGGTGAGTGATCAGCCAGCAAAGGGAGGGAGGGTGCACGGTATTTCGAGTGAAAAAAAAATTAAATTTTGAACCTGGTTGAACCATTGTATTCGTTAAAATACTCTACTTCTTGGGCATGTCATCGGGCTGCCAACGACGAAGCAATCTCCTCTGCAGGGGATCAAAATTGTGATGGCATGTCTTCGGAACATTCTCGGGGATGCTTCCAATAGCGTCGCCAATAGACGTGACGCGACGCCAATAGCCTAGTGAACCTCTAGTGTGCCCTAAATATACTATTACTACTCTTCACCCTTTTTATTTGCGAGATAAACATTCTAATACCGTTTAAATCGAATGTTTTTCTTCTGTACCCACAGCTTGAACTGTGATGGTTAAGGGGATAAAGCGTTCGCCTTCTAATGAGGTAGACTGGGTTCAAATCCCAGCAATGGCTGGTTGATACGAATTCCACATCCAGCTGTTATCGACCACAGTGCTGACGTAAAATATCCTCAGTGGTAGACGAATAATGGGTTAGATTCCCCTTGTCATCAGGCTGACCGTGGGAGGTTTTCGGGGTTTTCCTCCCCATGTAACACAAATATGGGCTCGTTCCATCAGAAAGTCATCCACAAAAGCAAATTTCTCTCAATACTTGATTCAGAAGTTCCCTTGTCTTCTGGATCGGGTTCAAAATTACAAAGCTACGGAGTTGAGCATTAACAGTCGTAAACCCAGAAAATTGGTAAAATAAAATACCCCGTGCTTAGAGTTTTTTAACCGTATCCGGCTGATATGCTATCAACCACCACAATCACTATTACTGAAATATTTTTTTCATAACTTTCTCGCTCTGAATTTAGAAATGAAACTGCTGACAGCAGTACACAATCAGTAAAGAGTTTATTGGTTGCGTAAAATTACATCCGCGTTATCGTCTCTGTATTTAAATTGCAAAATCAATATGAAATTGAAAAGTACGAATTGATAACGTCCGATTAGATATGCTCATCTTGTCAATCGGTGAACAAATAACTACTAAACCTCTTTGAGAAGAGATAAGAATTTGAGCATTCACCATTTGTTTACATTGTTTTTTAATCTTACAAGTACCATAAATCGTTAACTACTTTTTTTATTTTGAACGTTGCTCAAAATGCGCATTTGAGAAAATGTGCATAGCTTCATATGCGTGTTTAAGAATACTGACATAACTTGATATGCGCGTTTAATAAAGTACGCATAACTTGATATGCGTATTTTATTTATTTTTTTGGAACCGTCATTGAACAGCCGACCCAATTTTTTGGTTTACGACTGCTAATGTTTAACTATGAAGTCTTGTAATTTTGAACCCAATCCAGAAGACAAGGGAACTCCTGGATCAAGTATTGGGAGAAATTTGCCTTCGTGGAGGACTTTTTGCTGGAACTAACCCGCATTTGCCTTACAAAGAGCTGAAGACCACGAGAACCTCCCATCGTTAGCCTGACGGCAAGGGGACTCTAATCCATGATCCGTCTTCTGCTGAGGATATTTCACGTCAGCACTGTGCAAGCCGGAGGTGGAATTCGTATCGACCATCCATCGCCAGGATTCGAACCCGGTTCACCTCATTGGAAGGCGAACGCTCTATCCCCTGAGCCATCGCGGCTCTGATATGCGCATTTAATAAAATAGACATAACTTGATATGCGAGTCAGAAGGACATAATTTGATGTGCGTGTTTAAGAGTGACATTAAGAGAGAATATGCGTGTTTAAGAAGGTCATAACTTTATAAGCGTGTTTAAAAACGTGGACATAACTTGATATGCATGTTTAAAAAGATGAACATAGCCTAATGTGCGTGTTTAAAAAAAATGAACATTGATGAGCGTGTTTAAAAAAATGGACATTGATGAGCGTGTTTAAGAAACTGGAAATATGCACGTTTGAAAAAAAAAAAAAATACTTAGCTCAAAACGCGTATTACGAAAATGGCCATAACTTGACATGTTTGGGAAAAAATTGAACAAAGTTTAAAATGCGCTTTAAGAAAAAAAATTAAGAGAATGATCATATCATTTGATTCCTTGTCTTAAACAACTGTTAGAACTTTATGTATTTTAAAATGGAGTAACTAGAAAGGAAATAATTACTCATTGCGTTTAAATAATTCCAAGATAATTTTGTTACTGATTTCGAACTGCCCTTGTTCAAGCATTGCGTGGATGTTAAAAACTTTGAGTGAAAATTTTGGTCCAACATTGACAAGGTGCATTTTCAGCTACGCCAATTGTTTAAAACACCGATTTTAAACAAAGATCATTTTGAATTATATTTAATTTTTTTCAAGTACTCAATTGAAATAATGAAAAACATAGGTCAGTGACTAACAGAACAAAGGGAGAAAGACGATAGATATTCAGAAAAGATGATTTAAATTCTTATGCTTCAAGGAAACGAGGTGTTCTTTTTTTTTTCTTTTTTTTTTCTAATATTTTAAAGTTTATTTCGTACAGTAAAAATAAATTATAAGTGTGGTTTTTCTTTCTCAATGAGAGTAAGAAATGCTTTGTGATAGGTTATTCAATGTTAGCTGTCTCCATTAGTATTTTATCCAGAATTAAAAGCTCACCGACAATACAACAAAGAACAACCCAAGATGAAGCATTGAAGATTTGAGTTAACCTTTAGCTTACGGCAGGTACAACAAGCGGGCCAGAATGGTTTTATAATGCTAAGCGCCGTAAGCAAAAGGTTAATCAGAGTATTTCTTTTCTTTCTTAATAGATGTTTTTTGTAAATTCAATCCAACGATGTCATTTTCCATTCTGCTATAAACTCTGCTAGTAATTTCTTAAAAGCGAATTTTGAACT